TAGAAAATGTATCAAATACAAATGCATGGCATCAGACTTTTGACACAATATATTATCGTCATCCAAGACAACCATTACGAGATGAATTTTGTATTAAAAGTAATGAGCAAATATTGAAATGGGTTATGTGCATCGAACCACCATTTGATACCAATGTAGAACGATATGGGTTGCACACAGAGTTTGCCGATACTAAATGTCGTTGTATCTAATACTCGTGCTATTAAGTTTCCACGTGAACTAGAAAAAATACGAAGTAGCGTGACTTTCTCTCAAACAAGATATCATTGGCTAAGATTGGATTTGAATAAATTTCGAAATATCAATTCAATTCATCTGCTTTCAGTTGAGATTTTTTTATGAAACAACACGATTGAAAATGAGTGTTGAAGTTCACTACTTTTTTTCTACGCTCTTTTATCAATATTTTCAACAGATTGGTCAGTTTCCATAGAAAGAACTAGAGGTCTCAGCTTAGCATTGGCATTACATTAAATCAATACCAACTACCACACTTTTGTGTTCGAATCTTAATACAAAAACATTGTAGTCAGTATTAATTTCATAGAATGCTAATGCTAAGCCGACATCCCTGAGAAGAACAATGAAAACAAGAGATTCCCTTGCATCCTCAATCGCAGTGTTGGCCTACTCTTGAATACAAATTTATTTTATGTGACTCAGCAAATACAAATTTCGATCTTTAGCCGAGTTTCTGTACTTTCATTGGTCTCCATACATATTCTGTTGGTTGCTTTATACTTAGCTCATTTAAACTCAAGCTGCTCGCAATCAAGCTCAAGAGTTAGATAAGACCACGCCACATGACTTTTCTTTTATTAAGTTCGCTCTGTTTTTGCATTGATCAAAGCCATGGAATCTGTATATTCGTAGAATCTGATACTTGAGCTAATGATGGATGCCTATTTTGATTGTCGACCCAGTTGATATAAATGCTGGCAGTCGAAGTAGAAATTTCATCCAGAAGATTTTTGTTGATAACATCGCTACTGAGTTCAAACGTCAATGTCATGGTCGCAATCGCTAATAAGACATGAACCAACAACAGCCCCATTTTACACTGACAGACAATTGAAAAAACACTATATTCATTATCTTTAAGACTCTCGATTGTTTTTGAGTGGGGGAGAGGGGGGGGGGGGGCGCTTATCTTTTTTGGCAGATCCTGCTCACAAATTTTCGCAGACACTCATTTCTACCGAAAAAAATCTACGTTCAGTTCAGCGTAGTCTTTTTACAGATGTTCACGAGTAAAGATTTATACCAGCTTCCGCGTTTAGAAAACTTTTCTGAAAGTTTTTCTTATAATTGAATCCTACCATAAATAATATCATCCAACAGGCAAGATGCTGGTAGTTGTAATTGTTCATATTTTGTTGGAATAGTTTCTACGGCTACCATATGTTTTTGATGAGTGTGACATTTTCAACAGAGATGTGTCGAGTAAGTCTTTTTGTACTGTGTCCTTACGGAGAAAAATTGCTGTAACTTTATCTTGCCATACTTTGCGAAAATTCTAGGGTGTAGATGTGGATGTCGATGTGGGTGGGTTATTCGTTTCTGGATTACCGACACACACACCTTCAAGATTGCAATGAAACACACTGGCGAACTCTGTGACTTCCTGAGTTTAGCTTAGTTTAAATTAAAGTTGAACATAACTTCTTAATATAAATATATAAGATCACTTACCTCTTCTTACACTTTTTTCTTCATTCTTAAGTGTTGTAGTGTCTTTGTTTAATTATGCTTAAAATTCAACTTTGCCCGACACATAGACTTTTCAAATTTTAGAAAATTGTTCTTGCAATTTCCCTATGTTTTTATTCTTCATTATATACTTGGATATTATATTTTAAAACTCTCGAATAAGATTCACCTATCAGAGGTGTGGGTGTGCGTGTGGGTCTTTTACCGACACCCACACCCTATTTCAACTGCTCCGTATTGACTTGTTTGCTTCACATGAGAAACACCGGTGTTAGCCTCTGCGATAATTCACATCAATGCTAAATGGAGATTAATATTATCCTTCAGTCTTAGTGGCTCACAACATTTGCCAGAATAGTAGAATTGGCGTGGTTCGACCCGTGTTAGCAGTCACTGTATTCTGCATTCTCTCATTAACAATGGGCAAAACAGCTTTACCCTTACACTCTGTGTATATCAGAGCTAACAACCTGGATTGAATGATCGAAAAGATTAAGGAAAGTAATGCTCGCTTGAGGCGACGAAGATAAAATATATTTCCACTTTTGTAACGCTTACCTGCTTGTGTTCGCTTCACACAAAATACAGTATTGTCACTAACTGGAAAATTTGTGAATGAATGACAGTTTTTCACCACACAATAACAACCTTCTTTTTTCTCTTTCTGCGTCCAATCGTCAATAGGCGAGTTATTAAAAAAATTAAAATGGAATACCTGATTACTTTTTGTATTGGAACTGAAATCTGCTTATTTGCTTCATCATGAAGTCACACAGAAAAGAGACGACATATAATGAAGTATGGATGGGGTTTTTTACCAAGCCCGTAATCGCATGACACTTACGTATGTTTTTTTTTCAATTAATATTCAGATGAAATAATTGAGTAGGCTTCTCTGGTGCCAATAAAATTCAGTTGTTTGAAGATTTTTTTCAGTGAAAAATCACAAGAGGCCTCTTGCCATACTCTTCATGATGTTTAGTGATTGATTCTTGGAGCATTTTTAAGACTGTAGAGCTGCTCTTCTAGTGTCAATGATGTTGCTGGCTTTTTCATTAGTAAGACATCTCTTATTCAACGATTCAATACTGCAGATTTTGAGTAATGTCTTTTCTGTAGCTCGACACCACTAACGTGATAAGTGGCTTTTACGAGTGTTTGGGACTGTCTGTATGACTGGATCTGATTATGGTTGACAATGAATTCACAACACTCATCGATGCCCACACCCACACCCACCAAACTGTAGTCACGATGATAGCATTTCAATCGTTGAATATTATTTGTGCGCCTGTTTTAGCTAGTTTCTATCAGATATAATCTATCACTATTATTAATGATTACAGTATCAAATCAATAGAATAATTAGATAAACAATAAACAATTAGAGCCTTCATTTAGTGCGGATATTGCTTTTTTCTGTTTTTTTCTTTTTTCGACATTTTTCCTTTCGATCTTTCTATGACCAACCGATTGATACGCCTATTCACCTGAAAAATCATTTGGCCCAAGAAACGAGTTCTCTGAATTGTTACTATCCTCGAATGCAGATATTAAAGTTTTTATAGAATTTTATGCGATCTTAGCAATCACTTTCGTAGTGTTCTTAATCAATTTGTATCCGTTATGATTTCGATGGGCAACAAATCAAGAAACTCAACAAGCTATTATAAAGAAAATTGAACACGTAATTGACGGTGTGAGTTTATTTATTCTCATCGCCTACACCCACACCCAACCACAGCATTAAATAGAAAGTATCAGATAGGTTTATAAAGAAAACAATAATTTCATATCATATAGCTATTTTATTATATTATTTACGTATTTTGTCTTCATTAAAATGAAATTTTACTTCCGTAAATAAGTCTTATTACCGTTGGCATTATAATAAAACTGTCCACCTCTGGATCCTTCCATAATAGGTCGATTATTTGCACTGCCGCGAGTTGCCATAAACTCACCTGTGAATCGGCCACCACTGCCTCCAGGGTTTCTAGAACTAGTAGACATTGATGATTGATAAGGCATACGATTACCCAACATCATTTGACGCATTCCATCAAACAAGGAACCATCATCATCATCATAATTTTGGTTCATTCGACAGCGTCTGTCTCGTTCTTCTTGTTCTCGTTTTTCACCCCTTTTTCGTTCTTCTTCTCTTGCCTAAAATCATGCCATATTTTAACGTAAAAAGAAGAGTAAATTTATTTTTGACAAGTAAACTTACACTTGCAACTAATGAGTCTTCATATTCTTTTTTTTCTCTACGCGTTTGTTCGTCTCGTCTTGCTTGCTCTTCTCGTCGTTCCTTCTCAATTCGTTGATATTCAGCATTGGTATAATAATTACCATTATTTCGTTGTACCATTTGATCAATCATTTGAAGCAATCGTTTAGTCACTCTGTCTAACTGTTCACCATTTAGTTTATTGTTAAGAGCCAATTTACGATTTCCACAGCTGTTGACTAATTCCTGCAATTCATCAGACGAACTGATAAATTCATCAATCGTTTGACCTTCCTCCAACTGATCTTGACGAGTAAAAATCACGATACAATATTTAGCAGCACCGGCACCAAATATTGTTTTTATGAAATCTACAGTATTTTTTTCTTCAGGTGAAAAACGATCCACACGGAGAATTATTAAGAAAGCATGTACACCTGGAGATGTCATATTGAATATTTGTGAAGCGATTATACTCTGCACTTTTTCATTCGTAATGGTTTTATTCGTATCAAAAAAGCCTGGTGTATCGACAACAATCAATCTTTTTTGTCTTCCATTAATATCGGTACAGAGACCATTTTTAGCTTCACATGTTCTCGTGATTGACTTCGCTGATTGTGTAGCGTGAAATGCAGTTCGTGAATGTAATAGTGAGTTTCCTGTTGAACTTTTTCCTGAAAAGAGAATGTATTTTAACAGAATTTTTATTATTAATTATATTTGACACTGACCATTTCCTGTTCTTCCAACGAGAACAATACGTAATTCTTCTTCTGAAGAGGCCTAGACAAAATTGAAACTCACAATGATTATGAAAAACCAAAAATAATTATTTTCTTTACCATGTCGTTGCTTTAATTTGTTGATCAAAGTTGGTGTAAAGTAATGCAATACTGTCACAGAACGTGAATTTATACTGACTGAGACACTGGGAAAAAATCTTGCATCATAATAACCGGAGTGACGTCTTGTAAAAAATCAAGTTCAATGTCATTGGATGAAGTGTCTACTCAGAATGAGTATTTCTTTTCACTGCAATACAATTTTTTTCTCGTTTGCTGACGTCAGATGACTAAAAGAAAAGGAAAAAAATTTTACTAGTGGGTTTTTATTTCAAGGAGAAAGAAGTGGCATGCTTAGCCTGGAATAGAATCTAAAACATTTAACTCCTATTGTAACGGAACAAGATGCCACAAAGATGTCAATTAGGATCAATACTCAGTTATGGATCGGAAGGTACTGTATATTCTGGTTCATGGTGTGGTAAATCTGCCGCTATCAAAGTATTTTCAAAGCATTATGCTTGTCGTGCTGAAAATGAAATGAAACTTGTCACAGGTTTTAATCATATTAATATTATTAAATATTTTGATTTTGAATATGAACAAGCAAACGCTTATCTTACGATGGAATATATTACCGGTGGAAATCTTTATGAATTTATTCGAACAAAATTTACTTCAGATTCATATTGGACAATCATATGTCAGATTTTAAGTGATATTGCTCGAGGAATGGTCTATCTACATGATCGTAATATCGTTCAAGGAGATTTGAAAAGTCATAACATTCTTTTACGAGAGGAAATTCATCAAGGTGTTATTTGTGACTTTGGTATTTCGAGATCGCTTGAAAATGACAGTGGAATAAAGAAGCGAAACCAAACTGCTAAAGGTAATTTGTCTTTTGTGGTTATTGTCTCTCTCATTTTGAAATTCTTTTTAGGAACAATCCGATGGATGGCACCCGAAATATGTACTCCGCCGCCTGAACAATCGTCATTTGAATCGGACGTGTGGAGTTATGGTTGCATAGTACTCGAAACTACTAGTGGTCGCGAACCTTGGATCAATCAATTTATTGATGATGCCATGCTTTTTCGAGCTCTTCAACGTAAAGAAAATGCACCTGTCTTTGCACGAATCTGTGCTGATGAATCCGGTCCATCGTATATTTGTAAGTTACTTATTCAATGCTGTGCTTGGTCAAAAGCTAATCGGCCACGATTTGTCAATATTCTAAATTGTCTTGAAACTGTGCGTGACAAAGATACATTTCTTAATGACAATTTTGATCAAATGTCGATCGATATACCCGTCTCGAATGATTTATCATATTTCAATGAAGATTACACGAAAGAATATAATGCACCAAAATTCCAAGAAGACAAAAAAACAGACATACGGCCAATTCGTTCATTACAAAGTGAACAATTAAATGAGCATTCCAAGAAATTGTTGCCAAGATCAAATCGATCTCAAGAAGGACGTCTTACTGGAGAACTTTTTACTAGTAGAGGTAGTGCAAGTGGTCGACCTATTTATGAAGGTGTACGAGGTGGACGCTATTATTTAACAGAAAGTGGATCTAAAATTTATTTGCATAAATAAATGAAAGATCTAGAAAAACCTCGTTTTCTTAGCCGAATATACATTAAAATTCTCTCAGTTTGTTTTTATTTCAAATAAACATTTATTGATTGATCGATTCTTTTGAAGGGTATACGAGTTTCCAGTTCAAATCGAAAGAACAACTCGAACAGTTCCTCAAACTAAGATGTTTGAAAAACTTTGTTTTATTTTAGGAACAGTATTTCAGTAACAGAACAAAAACTGTTTGCACAGATCTTTCGATCTGAACTGAACGTATCGATCCGTAATTCTCTCAAATATACAGGGTGGGCCATAAATAACACCCCAATAAGAAATTTGAATATCTCTACCAGATGTCGACCAAACGAGCTGCAATTTTTACTAGTGATAGAAGCATATTCAAAGTTCATATCCATAAAGACATGCCTGGAGAGATCCTTTGTTAAGTACATTGTTTTTTCCTATCTGTAAAAAATTAAAATTTTTATGTTGATGTAAATATTG